CAGCCTTGGGCTTTTTGACTGTCTGTACTTAGCCTTAAAAACTGTGCTCTTTAATTAATGCACATTAAGACAAGCTAATGATCATTTTCCTAGTACTTCACAATGGAGGTACTGTGCATTAACTAAAGTGAATTAATGCACCTATAGACACATCCTTAGTTTTCACTTTTTGACTATAGCAAACCAGTGAGCAATTCTTCTGTTGCAAAGAACTCAGAGGCCACATCCAGACAAGCGTGGACATGTGGTATGCGGCATTGCAGACCCATCTGTGGCAGCACATGCCACACATACTGCTGCCTTGCAGCGTGGGGGAGGGGGGTTTGACTCTGGAATCCTGGGGTCAAAAAAACTCAACCAAAACAAAGTAGGGTGGTGCACATGGCAGTAGTGCCCACAGCCTAAAAACAGAACTTGGCTACCCGGAGCCACACTCCGGCTGCTGGCCAGGCTTCCTGCCATGGCTACAGCCCTGGGAGGTCCCCAAGACCCCAGGTAAGGCTGCTGGGGCCAGCACAGTTGCTGGCCCCAGCCTTCTCTACCCTACCTGGGGTAACTTGCTATGTGCTAGAGCATGTGTGGCACAGGCATTCCCTGGAACAAGTAGCAGCAGCACAAGATGTGCCACTACTACTTGTTCCCAGGAAAACAAACATCTGCACTTATCTGGACATGCCCAGAAAGACCACAAGTCAGAATGTTTCTAACACTAAGAATTGCTGTGTGAAATCTCTTTTAATCTTGTGAATTATGTTTACACATGTAACAGTGCTAACTTTGTGTGGCACCCTGCACCACACTCGAAAGGATCTCAAGGTACCCCAGGTTGCCACAGCACCCAGGCTGAGAATCATTGGTATTTGCTTTCCCTTCTCAAAGCACTTGCTCAACCTCTTATTTATTGCTAGTTTCACTGACGTTCACTCAAAGTAGCCTTTTCAAGGGAAGTGAAACGCTGAGAGGGAGAATGTTGACCACAAAACAAAGCCTGAGGAAAGTTCAGCTCTCTGGTCGGGGAGATTTTCTTGGGATGCTTGACAATGCAGAGGCAAAGGGATGGATTGGTTCCAGCTGTGTGTGCCTCAGGCAGAAAGTAGTGAGAATGGCACCCAGAGAGAGCAGAGGGACAGAGCTTCTTGGAACATTGGACTGGCTAGAAATGTAGGTATAGAAACTGTATGTAGGACACTGCTTGGTATTGTTCTTTTATTGTGTTCTACTTAGTTGATCTTATTGTCTTCTAACAATTAAATCACTGTTAGGATTTCAGTTTCAAGTAGCATTTATTTTGCTGCTTTCAGAATAAGAAAAGCCGATGAAAAGGAAGATCCTCAGCTGATGTCAATATAACTATCACAGTTTACAGCAGCTGAGGAATTATAGAAGTTGTATGCCGAGTCATAGAACATTCAGGTGAACTGATAGCATTAATCTAAGGTATCCCTTGAAAGTACTCTAGCTACTCTGTAGTTAAATACTTCTGGGTTATCAATGACAGACAAATGATGTGATTTTTTTTTTTTTGCAAGATGAGGAGGAACTTCAACTTCTGCCAGATAATTAATCTAAAGACATCCAGTGCAAACCTGCATGTGTCTTATTATCTGGGTGTCTCATTCTACAACATTATTAAGAAACTCCTGGAAGTGCTGGGGTCTTTCAGTTGATCTCTACCTACTGGGAGCTCAAAGTTATTAATCCAGAAAACTTAAAATGTTGTGGTATTAATTCATTTTGAGTAAAAAAAAAAAAAGTTTGTTACCTCAAATTAATCATTATTTAAGATGCAAAAAAAACCCCTTGTAAAGGCTTAGTTAAGCCAGTTTTACACAAAACTTGAGTAGCTTGGCAATTAAACTCAGTGCATTTCACTTCTTTATTTTTCCTTCATGGGGAAGGATTTAAAGGACTCCCACGGACTCTTTAAACTGAGGGACGCTAGATCCTGCAGGAAGTTAAGACAATTAGTATCAGAGAGACGGCAAGCATTTACAACTGTATAGTACAGCATATCATTAAAGACCTTGTTTCACAGTAATTTTAGGCAGCTTCTGGAGCTCTTGACCCTTGGACTGGCTGCATGTCAACACCTTTAAGTGGCATAAAGCATTTGTTATTTGGCTTAAAGTTATGCCACTTCAGGGCAGGATGATCTCTAATCCATACAACCTTGCTCCTGTTCCATTATGGTGTAGGCACTCTCCACAGATATTCCACCCAAGTTGAAGTCTTCCAGTATCCCAGCTCCAGGGCTGTGCTGGCTTTGTCTGCTGGGAGCAGCGAGCCAGTCTGGGCTCTGCCTGGTAGAAGCAGCAAGCCAAGCAGAACCAGCATGGTATCCCTGGAGTGCCCAGTGGCTGTGGTGCCTCCAGCTGCCACCTAGACTAGCTCACTGCTCCTGCTGGACAGAGCCAGTGCCACAGCTTGGATTAATTCACTGCTCCTACCAGGGAGAGTGCCCAGCAGCCACAGTGCTTCCTGTGTGGTGCCCCCCTGTGACCAGTAACTACCACCTAGCCACAGGTGCCCCAGCCCCTGTGCGCATCGGGTGCTGGTGTCACCACCTTTTACCCTTGAAGATTGAAAAGGGCTCAGACTTAGGGGGCTCAACAAGTTTTTAATCACGGAAAGACACAAGGAACATTATGAGAACATTACAGGGGACCACTTCTGCTGAGGTCCTGCACAGCTCCTAGTCCTGCACCTGCTCACCACCAAGCCTCTAGTGACAAGTCACAGCTGTGCAGGTGAAGGACAGTCAGAGATGGTTTTTTGCCTTAAGGTGTGACTGCTCCATTAAGCCAATTATCATTACTGTGACTTACAGCATAAGGTGTAACAAGGGCCCTAAGAGATGCAAGAGCTAGCTTGGGTCACGTTAGCTGTCTAGCCTTGGCAGCATGGAACTCAGTGTGGGCTAATTTATTTTGCTGTGACTCGCTTAACACATACATAATAAAACTCTTAATAAAAAGCAGGAAAGGTTTTCAGGGCCCTGCCAAGTATTGCGCCTCTTGCATGACAAACTTCACACTTTACTTTCATGCAGGCATTGCAGCTATCATCTCGTGCACAGCTGGAGGGAGAACCAGGCACCAAGGGGAATGGAGTTGGCTCTTAAGAGGATGTGTTGGGATAAGAATAGCTGCCTTTTCCCCACAGCAAGTTTCTTCTGCTTCTTCCCTTCACACCTAGAAGGAGGAAGCAGCAGACATCTTCTACGACCACGCACCATCAGCTAAGGCCCAGACTGTTGAATGATGCATCAGATCTTAACCTCTAAGGAGCTGTGACCCGGGACTCCTCCAGCCAGTCTCAAGCACTTCATGTCATTGTGCTAGGAGGCAGAGAGGTACTGTTGCTTTCTTTAGTCATTCCTTCTTTCCCAGTGTTTTCTATCCTGCTTCTCTTCATGGTTGCTCTTCTTCCCTGGATAATCCTCTTTTATATCAGCAGTAGGCTGGGCCACAGGCCAGTGAGGAAAGATGGTGGTAGACTTGCATGCTCAAGGAACAAAGAGCGATGAGTGGCAGGGGAGGGATTCATAACAGTGCAGGTAAGGGGGCGGCTTCAGCCCTTGCCCCAGTGGAGAGTGGAGGAGATCACAGCAGGGTGAAGAAATGGGCCCCCAGGCCCAGAGCAGCAGTGTCTGCAAAGGGAGGAATTGCCCTGAGGGGGGCAGCGGTCTCTGCTGCTTTACCGGGGAGGAAGGAAAAGCACCTAAAAGTTTTTTTGGGGGGGGGACACGACTCGCTTCGCCCCGACACACGCTGCTTGCTCCCTCACGATGACTGCATCCCACCAGACCGACAATGTCTGATGTCCCAGGCAGGGGGGCCCGGCTACGGCCCGCCCCTCGGCCGGCAGCTGGGGCTGTGGGGCCGGGCCGGGCCGGCCCGGGGGGCGAGGCGGGAGG